TATTTTATAGATTTATTTGGTTTTATTGTGTATATGAATGTTAATCAATTAAAAATAAAAAGTATTTGAATACATTTTAATTGTTTACTGCATTTTATAACCCCAAGAAATCATTAATACAGAAAAAATGTAGGTGGCACTAATAAATTGTCATGGGACTGTATATATATATATATATATATATATATATATATATATATATATATATATATATATATATATATATATATATATATATATATATATATATATATATATATATATATATATTATATATATATATATATATATATATATATATATATATATATATATATATATATATATGTATATATATATATATATATATATATATATATATATATATATATATATATATATGTATATATATATATATATATATATATATATATATATATATATATATATATATATATATATATATATATATATATATATATATATATATATATATATATATATATAAATATAAACATACACAGACTCACACACACACAAATAGGTTTTTTATGTTATATAGGCTTGCTTAAAAAGCGTTTATATATATAAGAATGACAGCTTCATATAAAAAGTATTAACAAAACACTCCACGCAAACGACATTTTTTTATGCTTGAGAGTACATGGTTTATTTTCAAAATACGGGGGTTGTAAAACCAGATTATAAGGTTGCAAAATGTTTTAATGCTATAATTTTTATAAAATAAAAACTTTTTATTAGACCATTGTATAAAGAAAAAAATAATATTGGTTGTATAATGTTTAAAAGACTTTTATTTTTATAATGTTTTATTTTGAATATTTTAAGATTCTCCCAGTATTTCAGGTTTCAAACAATTGTTAATTTTTATGTGCAAGAAGCGCCTGCTTTTACAAACTAGAAACTATAATATTTGCTGGTTTTACTTTAACCCAGCAGATAAATTTTATTAACAAACTAACATGTACATTTTATGGTTATATGTAATTTTTTTTTGGCCTAAAAATGTTCACATAATTAAATGCGCAAAAACAGAAAGTACTAAAAAAGGTAATTAAAATCACTTTCACTTTCACTTTCAAAAAAATTCGTTTCCTTATGTTCAATTTTAATTAAATTCATTTTTTACATTTTTTTACATTGCTATATTTTTATGATTATTAAAATCAAATATATTTTTTATGATTAGTAATCAAAATTAATCATTTTGACAGGAAACTACGCGACTTTCACAGAACGTATTGAAGCTTTGGATAAGACACTTAGCTTGCATGCTTATCCAGGAAAAAAGCCTAAACTCTCAGAACTTAATGATGGTGCGGACGTTTTTCTAAAACATAACCCAGCAGCAAATGGAAAGACTGAACTAATTTCATTTGAATCAGTTAAGTTTCCAGGATATTATTTGCAAGCAGAAATGGATGATCTGGTCAATAGAACAATGACACTAAATAACATTACAAGTGATAAACAAAGTAAATTTTTTAAAATTAATTTTCTTGAATGTTAAATTTTTGACATTTTTAAATAATAAAGTAGTAGAATTATGAGATATTGAAATGTCAAATTTCTTATTCAAACTCACAAAGGAGAGTTTGTTGAAAATTTTGATTTAAAGTTGAAAGTTTGATTTAAAGAAAAGATTTATGTAAATCATTTTATGAAGGATTTTATTCAATTTTAAAAAAAGTATTTGAACTATCAAGAAAGTCAGTTTTCTCAGTCACTGGTTCTTCTTTGAAAACAACGATTTCAACATGTTAGAACCAAAAGATTGATTTTGCTTTTACTTGAAATAAATACCTTAAATTACATTTCTTCTTTTTATAAAAATATTGATATTTATTATTTTTGCATATTTAGTGTATTATTTAAAATATCAAATATTTTTTTTACTATTTTAATTTGCATTGAATAAATATTCAAAGCAAGCATCTTTCTTTATCTAATAAAAAAATTATAATTTATTATTTTTTGCCTAGTGGTCTAATATTTCAAATATCATTAACTGTTTTTGCTATTTAGTTTGAATTTATTAAATGTTCACGGCAAGTGCTACCAAGACTTTAAATTTAGTTGGGACTGCTTGGAGGAAATCTTGGAGGAGAAAAGATGCACAGTTCCAAATTTTTATTATAACTTTTTGTTAAGGAAATTTGTTAAGGAAATACTCGTCAAAAAAATAAGAACATCTAGTTAAATAATCAATATAATCATATTAAAGTTGTTTTACTTTATATAATATACTTTATATTATATAATTTATATAATATACTTTATATTATATATACTTTATTTAATAGTTTTAAAAATTTTATCATTTTTCTGGGTTCTGATCAGTAAACTTAGTCCCAGAGATCAAACAATTAACAAGTTGTTTTGTCTAGATTTTGAAACTGTTTTAACAATAACTAAGTTATTTTGGAGTTAAAGCTTATTAGTACTGTTAGAATTAAGTGTTATGTTGTTCAGTTTCATCTACAATAAAAAAATCTAGGTGACAACCACACCATCAATACCAGACCTGATAATTTATATATACTCAAATATATATAACAAAAAAAAACGCTTTTTTATTTTTTAAGAGTGAAACAAAATACCGATTGGATCATTGTTGTATTTAATTTCAAATCTTTTGTCCTTAAATACAAGCATGAACAGAACAAATGTGCTATTTGGATTAACACATTCAATAATAATTTTTTTTTTGTTTATTTACAAAAATGTTTATTTACTGTATTATGTACTTCTTTGATATCTTAGCCATTTTCTAGTAATGCAATCTTATCAAGCTTTTTTTTAGATAAATTTTGGTTTATTATCCAATTAAAGAGCAAAAACCCAGATTGATCAAAATGATCAAAACCATTTTTAGATTGAAAATTATTTAATTTCATTTTCTGTTGGAATTATAACTAGCAATAAAATAAGTTTGAATATCTTGAAAAAAGTTTTAGCAATTTTCTATCTGGCATTTCATTATTTTATGTCTTACAATGTTTGTATAAAGCACAAACCTTTGATGTAAAAGGTAAATCGGGATGTAAAACTTTGATGTAAAACCTTAATCGGGATTTATTTTTCTATCCAAACCTAAATAGATTCAAGTAGATTCAAATCTTATGATCTATAGATCATAAGATTTGAATCTACTTTGTTTTCTTTCACCTATGCTTTGACTGTACTAGCTGTCGGAGCAGGCACCATATCTTGTTGAAACTACAATCATTTTTGTCAACCAATAAGCGTGTCTATTGATGCAATTCTCGAGCATTTCTATTATATAAATTCTTATAAATACTTAAGCATCTTTAATATGTAAATTCTTATAAATACCTAAATATTGTTTTTATTTATAAAGGAAATAATAATAAAAACAATAATATAAGTATGTTGGTTGATTCGGCCGTAATAAATAATACACACATCTACTCCGTTAAAATTAAAACAGCTTTAAATTCCAACCCTCCCTCCGCCATTTTGCAACCTCAGTACAACAAAGCAACTATACATTTCAGATTTAAACCTTTCAAAATTTTTTTTCTTATTTATTACTTCAAGTTTACTTTTTCTCATTACCTTCATCTTTTAAGATGATTTCTGTTGAAAAAATTGACAATCTCACCAAAAACAAGTTTTTTAACAGCATAAACTCCTAAGTAAGTAAAATATTTCTAAATCTATTCGAAGAAAGAGATTTTTCTCGGTTTTCTTTCAATGTGTTGGTAAGTTCACGATAGCTTAACCTTAAATTGGTTTTACTATACAAAATATGGCTGCTTTTTGCGCTCCGCTTTTTAACCACGCGGATCCTGCATTTGTATGACATTAAATGCCACCTGTCATTTTAAATATTTTTAGAACATTATTGATGCAATGCTCTGAAATTTTAAATTTGGCTTGGTATTTCTTTGCTACTAATTATGGAGCCATCCATCGTATCTATTGTTTTACATTTTTATGCTTAGCTTCTTGCTTTTAAACTCATTTTTGTAAAAAGTTATAGAAAAAACTTTCTTGTCGTGTAAAATAAAGTTTTAATATTTTACCGCGCCAACTTTTTTGAAAGCATTTGTTTGTCATTTTATTTAATTTGCTAAACTTGTTTGCAATATAATTCTTGTTTGTGGTTGAACAGTATTAGCTATGCAAATTAAAAAAAAACGTAAAAGCTTATAAATTTTATATTTATAACAACATTTATAAAGTCTTAATAAAAAGTAGATCGTTCTCATAGTTGCACGTCTGGTTTAAATTTAATTTTGTATTTACATATTTTTTAGAAGATCAAGCATCTTTTTTTCAAGAGTACAGAGTATTGTTAAACCAAAACACATATCGTTTGTTTGGACACGAATACTATTTTCTTTGTACAGAAAACCAGCCACCATATGAAACCTTTATTGGTAAAGATGATGACACAAAAAGTTTTTATGAAACTTGTTCGTACAGCGATCTACCGGTTGATCAAGCCGCCATAGATCAAGCTATGAAAGGTTAAATATTCTTAAAAAAGTTTTGATCCTTGTATAAATTTGAGTTTCCTAAAAAAATATATATATATATATATATATATATATATATATATATATATATATATATATATATATATATATATATATATATATATATATATATATATATATATATATATATATATATATATACATATATATAATGTTTGATAACACTTTTTTAGCTAAAGTTAACTTTTTTAATAGGTGAAGATGATTTGAATTCTTACACTGCAATTTTATTGCGTAAAGCTTTTTCTCAACACCAGCTTGGAATAGTAGCTAACAAAGATCAAATTGCAAGAGTTGGCATGCCTGCTGATATGTTTAAAGTTATACAGCCAGGGCTTGTTGGCGTTGATTTATCTGCTTCATTTCAAAGCGAAAAATACAGTGATTACTATTTAGTAAGAAAGGGAAAAGACATATACTTGCAGAAAACAGACCAATCAGCTCATTTTGGTAAATGAACATAAGCAAGAAGCAATTTTATACAATTTGAATAAATCTTAGCAAAAAACATTAAAAAAAAAATCATAACTAGTTAAACAATTAAATTTTATGTAGTTTAGTTATTGAAAAAATTTATTTCCCCAGCTAGCACACAACGTTGCATGCTTCCGACTGTTTTGAAGCCAACTTAGTGTGCTCGCTCGGTAGTATATTAACAACTTTAACAAAAATAGTAGATTAACATTTTTTTTTAGCTCAAGCGGCTTCTTTTACAATCGAATCTTTGTTAGACGAACAAGGGTCTTACTACATTCATCCATATCAATCTCAAACATATTCTCTTGGATACTTACATACTCCACCATTTAATGTCAGAGTATTGTTAAGCAATAACACCAATGAATTTGATTTTGATACAACTTGGAAAATGGAAGCAAAAAATATTCTTACAGCTAATTTGCATTTTAATATATTTAACCATCCTGAATTAGCCGATAAAGGTAACGGATTAAATAGTAACCCTAGCGACAATACAGAATCATTGGTTAACAGTGAAGTTATGAAGCTTATCTCAGATTCAAAGAGCACTCTTAGCTATGATACTGCTATAAGAAAAGCTGTCCAAGGCAAAATTGATTTGAAACTACTAAGAAATCCTTCATTAATTTGGCATAAACTGATTAGTGGACATGTTGATCACTTGCTACAAGATAAAAAAATGTTTTCTTCATTTGAAGGTTAGTTACTTTTTTTAAAGATATATGCTTTATATATATATATATATATATATATATATATATATATATATATATATATATATATATATATATATATATATATATATATATATATATATATATATATATATGTATATATATAACATATATTTCTAGGGAGGGACAGCCGGGGCCATTCTAGGGTGGGACAACCGGTGGGGCGCTACTGGAAGTTTTTTTTTTTTTAAATGGTCTTCATAACTTCATAAAATATCTTTACCACTCAAACTTTGGGTGCCTAACAATTTTAGTTAAAAACTTTAATGGATATTTCAGATTTCAGGTTGACAAAAACTTTTTTGCACAGAAGTGATACTTGCAGATTCTTACCTAATGGCCCGTCCACTTCGCCGGAACGGCTGGCTGTAAGAGAGAGACTACATCATCAAAATGAATCCAATACCTTTCCTTAAAAACATTATAGAATATCCTAAGATTAAAAAATACTAAAATTTCTAAAATGAATTTTGATACAGGGTAGTAAGAAATGAAGAACAAGTATGAGGAGACGGCTTATATACTCTCCAGAAACTGATCCATCTTATTGTCTTCCTTTCCATGTTTGATCCAGCTCCATAATCATATTTTTGGAAAAAAGAAGGTTTCAACAACTGGAAAAAGTTTACAGAGCAAGTCTTTTAGACTAGCTCTGTGAACTTTTTCTCCATCTCATTTCAGTTGCTATGACGAATGGATTGAAATAACAATCAGAATAAAAAATGAACAAGCTGTTGATCGAGATCTTATTCAACAAATTAACACAGAACTATAGTGAAGCATTCTTAAGAAAATAATGGCTATGTTTTTATACTTGGCGGAATAACATTGTCTTCTGTGGAAGCTCATTAAAGCTGTACACCAAAAATAATAAGAACTTCCTTGGTCTTATCTGATTACTTGGTTGATTTTGATCCAATTTTGATGGAGCATTTACGGCGAATTAAGATGGAGAAAAACGTTCACTAATGCCAAGTGTCAATATTTAAAACCATGTCATTAACCTCTTAGCTTTGCATGTAAAAGAAACTGTTGTGAACAAGGTAAAGTGTCGAAATTAATTTTTAGTTACTATGGATTGCATTCCAGACCTTAGTCAAAAAGGCAAAACTTCTCTATCCATCCGCTATGTTCATGAAAAAAATAAAGCAATTTCCAAGAAATTCATTGTCCAAGAAAGTTTTATTGAGTATACAGCGTGTGAAGAGTTGACTGGTAAAGCTCATTTTATGAAAAAAATGAAAAACTAAAGTAGACCTGCACAACTGTCATGGTTAAAGCTATGACGACGGGTCTGATACGGTTGCAATTCGAAAAGGTGCTCAAGCTCGATTTTCAGCAGAATATCTACAAATCTTATTTACACCCTGTGGTTACCACAGCTTGAACGCAGTTATATCAGACGTGGCTAAATCATTTGCTGAAGTCTATGTTGCTGTTTGGAGTTAATTGACACAATTGAAACATTTTTAAAAGGAAGAATGAACAAGTTCTCCAAATACGAGTCATAATAGAGATTCCTATTTGAACCGATGAAACTACCACAAAAAGACAAACTTAAAGAGGATTATAAAGAGCATCTGACGGTGAAAAACATTTTAGATGTAAATGGGGAAGAACAAAGAAAATTAAACACGTAAGTTTGATAGCAATTGTTTTTGACAAACTGTGGCTAAGAAAATACTATTACCATTAGAACCACTCAATAAAATCAAAAACACCGACAGAAAAGACCTTTTTACTATTCTGTGGATAGCACTACGCTATATAAGGGGGCGCAGCAACTACGTTGCCCTGGGCGCCACCAACACTTGGGACGGTCCTATATATATATATATATATATATATATATATATATATATATATATATATATATATATATATATATATATATATATATATATATATATATATATATATATATATATATATATATATATATATATATACATATATATATATATATATATATATATATATATATATATATATATATATATATATATATATATATATATATATATATATATATATATATATATATATATATATATATATATATATATATATATATATATATATATATAAAATACAGTTCCCTTTTCAAAAAAAAATTTTGCAAATTTAATTATATAATTTTTTTAAAATGTTTTAAAGTTTGCATTTTCTTATAGTTAAGTTCTTACAATATAGTTAAACTATTTAATTTTTTATATAATTAATTCAGATTGGAACGACGAAGAATAAGGTAAAAATAAAGATATTTTTAGATTATGACAAAATACTTCAGCATTTAAGGCAACTTCAATAAAATTATAACCTGCTTCAATAGAATTATAATTTGCTTAAACAAAAATTAGTCGGATCTCAGCCGCGCAATTAGGATTTCTGAAAAGGGGTTTTCAATTTTATGAATCCTTGGTTTTTACTTTGTGAAACCCAAAGCGTGCATATTTCTTTTTAAAGGTTAAAATTTAATTTTAACCCCTAATTGCGCTACTGGATCTAATAAAATTAGTTGGTCAAAATGCATTTTCTTTGGCAAACAAACTTATCGTATACATCGTGGATACTCTAGGTCGTATACGTCGTGGATACACTAGGTTGTATATGTCAATTACTGTTTTAGCATTACAGGTATGACTGATTCAAAATGTTTTTTTTAAACCTAAAATCATTATCATTTGTATTACGGATACAAACTTCATTTTTGAGTAGAGAACAAAATATTTTTTAAGGTGGTACAAAAAGCACTTTTTCAATTTAAAATTGGAATAAAACCAAAAACTAATATTTTTCTGATTATAAATTTATAAAAAAAAATATTTGAAATGAAATTTTTTTCTAAAAGTTTTTTTTACATCCATAATGGCTTAAAAACTGCTTAAAAAATGCATAAAATTGAATAACTTTGTGACGTGATATCTTCCGTTATATACATTTTCTCTAGTTCAAACTAAATATATTGTTGCATTATAATGTTTTATTCCGGTTGACAGATGGATTTTTAATTTAAGGACATATTTTAAGTTTTATTACGAATTATTGAAAATATGCTTGAAATTCTAAGTAATTTGACTTAACATGTGAACTAATTTCTTTATTTAAAAATATTTAAGAAAAATTTTTTAAATCCCATCTGTTAACCGAATTTCTTGAGTATATTGAGTATACCCTGAAAATTTCAGGCAAAAATCATTAGCCAATACAAAGATATTACGTTTCAAAGTTACCCTAGTATTACAAAAATGAAAAACTGTAAAAAACACATTTAAAGTTTTTTTCCAGTAAAATCTTGGTTAATGTCCACCAGAAACATATGACTGATTAGATTCATTTGAATTTTGTTTATCACTGAACCCTTTGGCTATTGATCTTAACTTTTTTCTTTGCTTTATACACTTTTGTGTCGACTTTTGTTTCATTTGATTCACACGAGAATTGTCAAACTGAACAGATGTCATTACTGTTATATACCCAGTCAAATTGAACTCTTTTAAAACATCCAAAATACCTTTACTACCATCATTAAAATGAATAACAGCAGAGTAAGTTCCCATTTCAACTGTTTCTCTACTGACAAAAGTGTTTTTGGGAACTCTAGACCATATGAGGGTATTCAAGGACTCATTAGGATTTTGTGTCTTACCATGAAGGCATTTAGATAGCAGTTGATCGTCTTGTAAGCTTTTAAAAATTGGTATTAGCATGTTTTTAATCCAGACTGGAATTGAATTTGATGATATATACTGCTTTGTTTTACTCCAATACCTGCACCAGCTTTCAGAATCACGAGGACAAAACTGATGATGCTCATCTTGATTTAGAATATTGGTAAAGTGGAAAAGAATAGCATATATAGACTTCTTCATAGCATAAATATTAGTAGTGTTCCTTCTAATAGCAATGCCATAGTAGTTTTGCATCGAATTTATTATCTTATCTGTCAGTTTATTTCTACCAGACAATGGTGTTTTAGTGCTACTATGTAATTTTACTAAACTCTGTAATCGGGTACCCATACGCTTTTGAACATGCCCGATACACTCAAGTTTTATTGGAATTACTCCTTGTTCAATGTAAGGTTGTGATTTTACAACATCTGAAAATGAGCTTGTATCGCCATCTCCAAGGTACTCTTTATAAATCAAGTTTCGATTTGATATAGAGCGATGAAATATGTCCACAGCACCTGATGATTCCATGGATCCTGAAGACCCTTCATGGTTTATTTGACAATTGTGGTCTAACTTCCACTGCTCATGCTCTAATGTATTTTCTTTACTTAACCACATTTTGCAACCATAACAATGTCTCGACTTGACTTCAACATCAACACATTTATCACCTGTTATGGCTGTAACAACGCCATGCAAAGAAGAATAACCACGTCGTTGCCATGAGCCATCAATAGGAACTTGAGTACAACAAATATTATCGACAATTTCAGTATGAGGAGCTTCTATAGCTGCCTTTTTCATGCTAATTGTTGCAGGTTTTTTATAGGCATTTTTAACCTGCAAGTCTATCTTGTGAAATGCATTTTCAGTTAAACAATGAATGTTCATAACTGACATGAATGTCTTCATTGTAGCATATCCGCAGCCAATTTCTCGAAAAGCAATAACAGCTCGAGTGTTTATCTCCTTTAAATTGAATTTTTGTTTGTTTTTTAATTTCTGAAGAGGTATAGTAATGTTTAAGAAAAGTACATCTTTTATTGCAACATTGTAGTAACAAATTATGTGAAAGCCCTTTTCTTTTATTAGGATAATCAATAAGCTTAATGTTGCAGAAACAATCTGGACATGAAAGAGACTGAACAATATTTTCTAACACAGGAAAATTAATAAAGATGAAATAATCTGAAGCATTATTATTGTTTTTAATGTTGGAAGAAGATAACTTTCGTTCGCTAGAACAAGAGGGTTGAATAAAATTTGAGGTCTTACAAGATACTCTATTTGGTATAACACAGTTCCATTTTCTATGCTTTTTTTGAAAAGTTTTTTTTGTTGCTAACTTTATATTTTTGATGTAGGTTTTCTTTTCCTCCTGAACTCATTTTTATATACACTAAATATAAAGCTTAAGTTATTAAATCATATTAACAAATATATCTCAGACAAAGTAAATATCAAAGTAAATTGATATTACAATGTAAAAGTTACAACAACTACTATTTAAATTGTCACAAAACAAATGTGCCTTTAATGTATAGTTCAAAACTTTACGAATATAAAAAAGAAGCCTAGCATAGCCTAGGCATATTCCATAAAAAAGAAGCCTAGCATAGCCAAGCTTAAGCATAGATTTTAGGGATTGAATTAGGTTTTTTTATTCTGTTGCTAAGGCGTTGCTATGGTCGAAATTTTCAACAACTTTAGAAAAATGCATTTTTAAAGTGTTTTATGTAATTGAACAATATAAGATGGTTATATCAAATGAAAAAGGATAAAGTTTGGAAAAAAACTAAATTTTGAAATTTTACTCCAAAATCACTGTTTTTTTAGTGGTGCACCACCTTAAGCAAAAAAAAAAAAAATTGTTATAAACTTCAAAGCATAATTATAGTAAAAATAATATATCGCCAACATTTCATTGTTTGGTGAACAATAAGTTTCTTTGTTTGTGTTTATTTTATTTCTTGAACTTTTCCCAATATTTTAAAATAGGCGATCCATACTCTAACTTAATGCACGATGATTTGCTACATGAAAAAACTGAATCAAAATATACAGAAGTTCATGGAGAGTTTACTGATTGGACTGCGTGCAGTAAAACATGTGGCGATGGTATACAATACCGAACGGCTGCATGTACTAACCCATTACCAACATGCACACCCTTGCAAGAATGGCAAAAATGTACGCTAAACCCATGCGAAGGTAAACCCATTGAATAAATTTATTGTAAAAAGCCTTTTTATTTGTATAGCAATTCATATAATTCATATAGTATAATTAACTCATGTATATACAAACAATATATAATCAATATAACAACAGATATAAATTTAACGAAGTTTAAAATATTGTAAATATTTTAAACTTCGTAATATTTATTAATATAACGAAGCTTGTTAACACACACACACACACACACACACACACACACACACACACACACACACACACACACATATAATTTTACAATATTTTTCAATATCTTATACTCTATATCTGCTGTTAGGTAAATTGTTCTATATATTATATATATTGTTGTATAGTATGTATAGTCTATATATTGTTATATTTTATATCTGTTATTTTTTTAAAGCCTCGATTGCAACAGTATCGTATCCCATTGGAACAACGTTTCAGTCTGATACAAACTATGACACTATAACAAAAGCTATACATCCAAATCCCCCAGTGTGTCCTACAGTGTGCCTGAATGATTGTAATCCAAACATGTGTGCTATGTCATGTTGCTCATCTAATATGAGAAAAAAAAGTATAATATTTTACAAGCCAAATTATTCAAGGATTGATAGAAATATTCAAAGGAAAATTCTTAAAAGATCTATGAAAAAATTTTATGCATCTAATTCTATCACTTAAATGCCGTCCAGTCACTCTTTTTTGAATTGGAAATCTTTGAAATTAGAAATTGCACCTTATTAAGCTAGTTTTTGAATAGTAAATATATTCGAGTTAAACTCTTAAAAAAACATGATAAACAGAGCAAGATAACCAGAGATAAAAAGAAACTACAAACTAAACAAGATAAACAGAGTTAGAGTTTTTGTTAAACATAAATTTAAACACAATACAAACTTTGTTAAACTTTTGGTAAAAGATGCATTAAACTTGCATTTAAATAAATATACGTTATGATATATATTTTCAGCAAAAGAAGTATTAAATAAAAAATATTATCAAAAAAAAAAAAAGAATCATTTTGTCTACGCTTTCATTCTAACTTAGTCATTATTCTATCAATTGGTCGCTGTAAACGGGACGACTGAATAAGCGCGAATTTCATCAGTGCAAACTGGCATAAGTGCTAATTGGCATAAGTGCGAAGCAGTTACAAAATTGGCACAAGTGCGAACTGGTATAAGTGCGAATTGGTATAAGTGCGAAGCAGTTACAGAAACTGGCAAAAGCGCGAACTGGCACAAGTGCGCCGAACAAATTTGCAAACATTAGCATAAGTGCGAATTGGCATAAATGCGAACTGGCATAAGTGCACCGAATAAATTTGCAAACATTGGCATAAGTGCGAAAAACTGAGTTTATTTTCAGTGCAATCAGTTACATCAAATAATGGTTCAAAGCATAGTAGGGTTGTATGACTATATTAATTCATAACTTTTTAATTATAAACTTAGGACAAAGATTTTAATCAAACAACATACCAACGATCGACAATTAGTAGTGATACCATTTTTTTCAGCATTAAAAGTATATAAAGTAAAACCTTCGACATTTTGTATTTATTAAGTATTGAAACAAAAATATATCTATGCTATACTTATCTAAAGAAAAAATTTTAAATGTCTGTAAATTGCTAAATTCATAAAAATATATATTATTAACAAGAGAAAATATGGGTATTTTTTACTTTTCTTCATACACAATCTGTTTTCTCAACAACAAGTTTTGATCGCGATCAATGAATAAAGTATTTTCTTTTATCGCAATAGATTCTTCAAGAGTTAACTTTTGACTTAAAAGACATTTTAACGACATTTTTGATTCGAGCATCATAGATTGCAAATGAATCACGTTATTTTTTATTTCGTTAACCTAATAAATATAACAATTTTAGTCATGAGTTAAGAGAAACTTTAATATATAAATTCAAATTGATAACAGTTATATCAAGGTATCTTTTTATGATTTTCTGTAAAAGTAAATTGAACCTCTTCTCGCAATTTTCTTTCTACACGATCTAGACACAGTTCTATATTAGGTCTGCATGCCCGTTCATCAAGTCGAATTTGGGCTACTTGCAATGGAGCGTCATTTTCCTCAACAGCACATTGTATTTCATTTATATTGTCATCCATTTTATCAATTTCAACCAGCACCTAAATAAAAATTGAACATGTTTTACATATTAAACAAATATCTTAGGGTGTTATTAAAAGCAATCAAGTTAGTTATTTTTTATATTGTAGGTAATAGTGTTATTATTATTATTGTTATTATTGTTATTATTGTTATTATTATTATTATTATTATTATTATTATTATTATTATTATTATTATTATTATTATTAAATGAATATTTCACTATAATATACATTTTAATTTTAAAATAAAATTGCAATCAACGTGTCCAGAGAGTTACAAATTATATTGAAAATTGTTATTATTAAAAATAAAAAACAAAAACAAATAGCAAAAATTATATGATAGAACTAAATCTGAAACAGTAAAATCAATTTTTACGTATATCAGTAAGGATTTTCAATCAATCAAATGTTTATCAATGAGGATTTTGAAGTTGGTATAATTTTCAACAATTCTAAATTTATAAGATATATCATTATAGAGTTTTGCACCCATATAATAAAATCCTTTCTTTGAGAGTTCTAATCTCAAACGAGGCAGTTTTGAGCAAACAATTTCGAAACAGAATTTCGGTCAACTAGTAATTGACCGAAATTCTGTTTCGATTTCGGCCGAAACTTCAACTTGAACCGATACCGAAATTTCGGTTTAGGTACTTTTTAATAAATTTGGTAAGAAACGAAATTTCGATTGAAAAACATACCGAAAACCAAAATTTTAATTTTGTATGATTTTACATTTTTAAAATGAAGTTTTGAGTCTATCGTTCACTCAGGGCCGCTGAGAGCCGTCACGCCGCCTGGGACAGCAACCCTGATTGGCGCCCTTACTTATCAAAATTTCCCTATATTATAGAAAAAAGGAGTTATTTTTTTTTAGGTGCCTTCTTAACATTTGGCTCCTTTTGGATATTAGCAGCCCGGGACATACTGCTCCTTTCGAACCCCCCTTCCTCCTTCTCGGCGGCCCTGCATTCACTAATTTACTTAATTTTTAGTAAGTAAATAGCATGTATCAATTTGCTTCTTAAAAATATCAAAACCGCAAATAACCAAACAATTGCAGTGTGTATAATATTTTGAATCTTGCATTGATAACGTTTTGTTTAAAAAAACAATTTTGATTTTAATAGTTTAAATAGAAAGTGAATAATGATAATATTTAGTGAATAAAAGCTTTTGTTATTTTTATAGATTTTTCTATGAGTAATTTAATCCAAAAAACAAAACAAAACAAAAAAAAATCAAAAACTATAAAAGTATCAAAAAATCAATAAAAAATGACTATTATAACAAAATCGATGCTAGATGAAGCACTAAAATTCTTAAAATGTATTGTCCTAAAAAGAAAAGAAAGAAAATAAGGTCCCCAAAACTAAAATTCACCCAACTGAATTGCCTCCAATAATCTGAAAATCGCCTTCTTATGAGGGGGTTTGAAAAGTATAAAAGCAAAGTATATAAAAACCAGGATCTTATCAATTTCAAAGCAAGCATAGTTTTAATAGTTTAAAAAACATGGTAATCAGACTAATCAGCTGTTATATTTAAGGTTTTAATTTGTAACGCAGGGATCATGTACACAATAAAGGAGGAGGTGTATTTATTAACGTCAATGAAAATATAAATTCTTACAAAATAAAAAAACGTCTAAATGAACAATTGTCTGAAGACATATGGTGTATGGTTGAAATTGGGACTGAGAAAATGGTAATTGGATGTATCTATTGAAAAAGCAAAAGTACAGAATATGAAAATTTATCTCTTATCGAATCTATAATAGGTGCTTATCAAACATTTTTGAAAAATAAATGTAGAGGTGTTATGATATGTGGATATTTTTATCATACATCAATAAAATTTAGCGAAATAAAAATATAATCAATAAACAAGCGAGTTTATTCATCAATTGTTTAGATTGTTTTCTGTATTAAACATTCAACAACCAACTTTTCAAATAAAAGCAGGAATAAATAGCAATGTTTTTGATTTAGTATTAAATGAAAACAAAAACATAGTTTTTAACATTAACCATCACCGTCCTCTGGGCAACATAGAACATGGCCATTATTTAATTAGTTTTAATTATTGGTTTCAAAACGACAGAATAGCGATATAAAAATGGAAAAAAAAATTCCTTTTAAATATAGGTAATTACAAACAAATGAATAAATAATTTTCTAAAACCAAATGGGATAAAACATTTTTAAACTTAAATGCTGATGAAACTTATAACAAATGGTTATCAATCTATCACAATGCTTGCAACAAATTCATACCAAAACTAAAAATCTATCAAAATAAAAAAATTAAAGAACCATTATGGAAGAATAGAAATAATAAAAATATTTATAAAAGAAAGAAAATATTATGGATCAAATGTAGAAGTACCAGAAGTTTTTTTTTTTTTTTTTGTAATTCACCTCCCCAAGGCCAAGAAGCCACTACAGACGAGGAGGCTACTTGTGGTTATAACCCTCTCTCAACTCTATAACTCTGAAACACGAGCCTTGACGAACAAGGCCACTATGTGGAGAAACAAGTTCAGCGCAGTACTACCAGGGACATAGTGGGAATCAAACTCCGAACCCCTCGTTTATGAAGCGAGAGCTCTATCACTACACCACTACTGCATTAAGTACAAAAAGTAGACGAATATAAAATACTGAGCAAAGAAATAAAACAAATCATTAAAGCCAGTATAACAAAATATGAAAAAAACTTTAAGCAAACTCGAAACACAACCCAAAATAAGTTAACATGTATATCAACAGTAAAACCAAAACTAAAAATTCTATAAAAGCGCTTTATACAAATGAAAAGTTAACCCATGATAAAAAAGTTATCACTAATAATGGAATTAAAATGCTAAATGTTTTAAACAAGTATTTTGCTTCAGCTTTTTCTACTAAGAAAAAATCAAATAACGCAAACAAAGTTAACAAATATAAATGCAAAATAATGCATTTTGGTAAAAATAATTAAAAACATGATTATAAAATAAATAATTTTACACTATTAAAAACTCAATCAGAAATTGGTAAGGTTATCACAAATGACTTAAACTGGAAACCTCACATTAATAACAAAACAACTTGGATTGATTAAACACACTTTTAAATATTTAAATGAAACATCAGAAAAACTTTTACATAAAAAATTAGTAGGAACTCATCTAGAATATGGTGCAGTAATATGGAATCCTTTTAGAAAAGATGAACTATTAGATTAAATGGTTTATCATATGAAAAAAGGATTATCTAAAAATTGAAACATTAGAAAATAAAAGAAAAAGATTAAGTCTCATTCAAATGTTTAAGATACCCAAAAGATTCAATAAAATAAATTTTTCCTCTTTTGGTTGATAATAATTAAAAATTTGAGCACAACTTTTTATCTAGACATTTTTATACTGTTAAGCAAGTGTTGAAAATAATTAAAAGTTTGAAAATAATTAAAAATTTGAAAATAATTAAAAATTTGAAAATAATTAAAAATTTGAAAATAATTAAAAGTTTGAAAATAATTAAAAATTTGAAAATAATTAAAAATTTGAAAATAATTAAAAATTTGAAAATAATTAAAAATTTGAAAATAATTAAAAATTTGAAAATAATTAAAAATTTAAAAATAATTAAAAATTTGAAAATAATTAAAAATTTGAAAATAATTAAAAATTTGAAAATAATTAAAAATTTGAAAATAATTAAAAATTTGAAAATAATTAAAAATTTAAAAATAATTAAAAATTTGAAAATAATTAAAAATTTGAAAATAATTAAAAATTTGAAAATAATTGACAATTTGAAAATAATTAACAATTTGAAAATAATTAAAAATTTGAAAATATTTAAAAATTTGAAAATAATTAAAAATTTGAGCACAACTTTTTATGTAGACATTTTTATCCTGTTAAGCAAGTGTTGTTGTTATAAGCTTATCAATTGATGGTAAATTATCTACATAATATACATAATTTACTATCAATTGATAAGCTTATAATAGTAACGGAGTAGATGACAACATTGGCTCATAATTACGAAGTAAGTGCAAGTTGCATTTACTTTGTGTGTAAGGTAAGGTCACATTTTAAAAAGTTTCAACAGTCTTAATCTGTTACTTGCTTTCTTGTAATGACTCTGGAAAAAATTGCTTAATGTTTGAGAAGAATCAAGTATGCAATCAATCAAGTTAATGATATGTTTTTGTTGTTTCAATTTTACTTTCTCAATAACTAAGATCAAGTGGCCTAGATGGATAGGTTTAATAAGTGTGAAATTTCATTAGTGCAAAGTAGTTTCAAAAACTGTCATAAGTGTAAACTGGCATAAGTGTGTCAAAAATTTTTTCAAACATTGGCATGAGTGCAATTTAGCATAAGTACAAACTAACATAAGTACAATGCAGTTGCAAAAACTAAAAAGTGCTAACTTGCATAGGTGAGATGAAAGAATTTGCAAACATTGGTATAAATGTAAATTGACAATTCACACTTATGTCAGTTTTTACAAATGCTTTGCACTTATGCCAATGTTTTCAAATTTTCAGCACACTTATGCCAGCAACTGCTTCGCACTTATGCAACTTCACAATTACATCAGTTTGTACTTATGCCATTTGCACTTAAACAGATTTGCTGTTATGAAATTCGCACTTAATCAGTCACCATGCTGAGACATAGAAAGTCGTTTTGAAGTGTGAAAGAGCATAGGTTCTGATTTTTCCTTTATTGAGGTTTATTATTATGTATATATATATACTATGTATATATATATACTATGTATATATATATATATATATATATATATATATATATATATATATATATATATATATATATATATATATATATATATATATATATATATATATATATGTAACATATAAATTAAATAAAAATATTTGTACTTACTTTACTTAAATTCTCTTGAAATTTTTTTTTTGCAAGCTCTGTTTCATCAATTCTCTTTGATAGAGCAAGATTAACTAACTCAGATTGGTTTTGTAGACATTCAAAAGCATTATGTAACATTTCATCAACTTTACTTCGCAACGATAAAGATAGAGCATATTCTTGCTGGGCCTTTCGTAGATTTTTGTCAGAAAAATATTCCCAAACCTCTGGAGTCACAGGCCTAAATAAATAAGATATTATAAATTTTTTTTTAAAGGTTATACAAAATTTGAAAACTAATGTTTTTAAATATTATAAAATGAGAAATTAAAAATTATAATAAAGGTTACTTATTATAAAAACTTACATGGAAATGTTTTTAGAAGTTTTATCTTGCAAAGGTAACGAATCACTGTTTATAGTGTAACAATAATTGTCTATTTTTAATGCCGAAAATTTATCAGCAATATCTTTACCAATATAGTAGTTTGACGAGCGCAACAATCTAAAATGTTTTTATTTATTGATAAAAAAATATATTAAACATAAATTAAAGTGTTTTCAACAAAAATAGCCAAATAGTTCAGTAGGATATATTATAATAAATATCACTGGCTATAATTATAAAAAAATATATACTTATGTTTTTTAAATTTATTATTGCATTAAATATGGTATATGATGGAATATCATATTGCAAATACTTGAATATTATATTGACATCTTATAAAAAATTATGATAAAGCTTCAGTCAGTTGGTTTTCTTATTTTAGGAAGGCTGTTAACGACTTCATTGATTTTAAAACAATTAATTGATGTCAAGGTTTCAATTATATCATGTAATGCATAAGAATTTTCTTTAAGAATCATGCACACGTTTGATATTTAACTACATACATAGTTTTGAGTTGCCCTGAGTGGGAAGCATCATCATCATTGACTCTCTCTACTAACTTAAAATGGAGCAAACCACTTGGCAACTGTATTATATTTTGGAGCTTAGTCAACATGAACTAATACCAATTTATTGATTATGATTTTTGCTGAAACTCTGAGTAGAGCTCAGATTTTAATATATGCTCAATATTAAATTTTTTCCATTTAAAAATTTTTCATTTAAATGTGCTTAATAAAAGTTAAACAACTATAACACAATCAACAACACTTAACAATCAACAACTTAAAATGTTCATAATTAAAAATAGTATAAGATGATAAATATTTAATTTAAGTTATATTGAAACTTTATAGATAAAGTTATTTTCTAATGAACAAACTTTTCTAACAACCTAAGTAATTTAAAAACCTGTTTAACAATTAAATCACTTAAAAAGTTGTTTAAATAAAATATATATGATAATGATATAAAGTACTTATACTTTATGAAAAAGTAGGGAAAAAATTATGATAAAATAAATTGAACAAACCATTTTTAAAAAAAGAAAAGTTAATTTATCATACATCACCTAATTTTTTCCACTACTTGAGCAATTGTCTTTGTAAGTTTAACTCTCATAATTTCAATGATTTCAACTTCCTTTAATAAAAATTTAATAAAATAGTTATATTGCTCTGCTTATAAAGAACATTCTTACATATATCGAAACATTCTTACATATACCAATACATTCTTACATATATCAAAACATTTATACATATATCAAAACATTCTTACATATATCAAAAAATTCTTACATATATTAAAACATTTATACATATATCAAAACATTCTTACATATATCAAAAAATTTTTACATTTATTAAACTTATATATTAAACTGGCCTAACAGCAATTTCCAGTAAAACCAAAAATGAAACACAAGCTTTTAAAATAATTGTTTTTTGAAAAACGTAAAAGAAGTATATGGCTTAAAATACATTAGACAAAAAAAATGCAAATGTTAGCAATCACAATGTTACCAGCAGCTATCTATTTTCTGACCTAAGAAAAACTTTTTGGGATATGATATATTATAATTTTTAAAATAATTTACAGTCATCCAATTCAAGTCAAGCATTTTAGAGCTTTTTTGTTTCCAGAACTCTGCCATCCCAAATTTTGCAAGGCCTCCTCAATTGGCATAGATATGAACATACTTAAGTTTGGAGTTTGCACAATGTATGAAAGTGTCCTATCTGAAACATCAGAAAATCCTGCAGGAACCCATTTATATACATATATTTAGTGGTGAAAAAAAGTAATGTGTCCAGTAAATTTTTAATAGAATTTTTCGCTAGATAAAACAGATAGCTAGATAGTTGATCAAAGTAACTTCACAATGGTCTTCGTATCAAGTCTTCAAGAGCGATATTCAGAGTGGGAAATTGGTTTCCATAGGTCATTCATAAATTACGTACGCAGGTATGGGGAAAGGGTAACCCAAAAGTGTGCCAGTGCATTCAAGGGAAAGGGTGGATAATTTTTTGTTTAAATGTTTTTTATAAGAAGTCTGGAAAATCTGGCTTTGGTTTGTTAGTTCATGCATAAATCTATATACCGGAAAAAATATGTTACTTTGATATCAAATAAAAACAATTCAATATCGCGTAGTTTTATTTATTTTGTAGCTGTTCTAATATATCAGTAAAAGTATTTAGTTTGTTAAGTTATATTTGACACAAAGGTATTTGATATTCTAACACTTTGTATTCAATTTGATGTTTTTTAATTATAAATGTAATAGTCATTTATAAACAGAATGTAATAAAACCTGTACGATATCCAAGCTATTATTGAAGTTTTAGTTAAATAAGTTGTAACAAGTAAAATATTCGCTAGATATTTAACTTTTAACTATTTAAAGTTTGGAACTGTCATTGAAGTGTTGCAGGTTTTGATATTACATAAAAGTCTATTTTATGCAATTCAAAGTAAAAACCTTAGTTAAGCAAAGTCTTTTGTCAAATGGACCCAAAAAACTGTTACATTTAGCGAATGGTTTGACTTAACCAGAGCACGATTACAAATTATATATATATATATATATATATAATTATATATATATATATATATATATATATATATATATATATATATATATATATATATATATATATATATATATATATATATATATATATATATATATATATATATATATATATATATATATATATATATATATATATATATATATATATATAGAGACACACACACACACACACACATACACACACACACATGCACACACACACACGCACACACACAAATTCTAGCTGGTCAAAAAATCTGAGTTTTGAAAAATATGTTTTTACAAACAACAATACATCTGTATTTCAAAAATACTAAATAAACATCAAAAATATTTTAGACTAAAATATTTTGTTTATGTAAACTAGTTTTTAAACCATCCAACTTGAGTATTTGACTATTTGATATACAAATATATTTGCGTATTTTTTTACTATTTGATATTCCATTATTTTTTCAAAAGATTCAAATATTTTTTAAATGAAAAGACTGAATTTAAAATAAAAAAAGAAAAAAGAAAAAAGATTAGAGAGCTTTGCAGCAAAAATAAGCAACTTAAACAAAAAAAGAAAAAAGATTAGAGAGCTTTGCAGCAATTATAAGCAACTTAAACAATTGACTGTGTTTTTTTTTAAAAAAACACAGTCAATTGTTTAAGTTGCTTATAATTGTTTGTAAATTTAATAGTTTACTATATAAATGCTACATAATCATAATCAATATTTAAAACTGTTCCATAAATTGAATTTATATATTAAAAATAGTAAAAAAAATTTCTGATAAAAATACAACTTATTGCTGCTTAATATAAGGTGGAAATTAAAATTTGTGGGACTTTTTTACGTAATTACTTTTACGATATCTTTAATTTTAGCTGAATCAAAAAAAACTGAGGTATGGATGTTTTTTAGAAAAAAAAAAAAAAAATTGGTGAAACTGCGTGTGGTAAGTGCAACATGAACATAGGATGGAAAAGTTCAGCCACTGCTATGATTAACCATTTGAAGCTACAACATAACATATTTAATATCTAAATCAGGATCAAGTGAAAGTTATGGAGTAAATAATATTCCTACACAAAAACAAAAAAAAGAAACAACTAAATTTCCTTAAAAAAGAATCTTAAAATAAAATATTGTCAAAAGTTGAGGCTGTTGATGGAAAGACAATCACAGCAATGAGTAAATCTCAAGCTATTGCTGGTTATGTGCAACAAAAAAGATATAAAATGCCTAAAAATCCAACAACTATTTCAAAAGGTATCAACAGCTTTTATTAAAAAAAATGTACTGAACTTAATGTACTGACCAAAAATTTTTTTTACATACCAAAAAATTATATTCCCAATAAAATATTGAAGATTTGATTGATGGTGATATGGAAGAAGAAATAGAAGAAAATTCTACAGAAAATCAGTACTCTGATTGCAATTTAGAATTTGGTGAAGAAAATGAGTATATTATGACATTTAACACTGACTTTGATCAAATTATTTTCAATTTAAGAGGAATTATTAGTATTCATTGGGAATATATATATATATATATATATATATATATATATATATATATATATATATATATATATATATATATATATATATATATATATATTCAATTTAAGAGGTATTATTAGAATTCATTGGGAATATATATATATATATATATATATATATATATATATATATATATATATATATATATATATATATATATATATATATATATATATATATATTCCCCATCATGGGGCATAATATATGTATACATACTACTTTTTTTTGTTCCGTTAACGTAACAATATTGTTCTAATGTTTAGAGAAACATTTTATAAATAAAATTTAACTTTAGAATGGTTTCTCTCAAGAGCATATCTTTTATATTATCCTATCACCAAAAGTTTAAGTTAAATTTTTTTAACTTTATGCAAGTAAACTTCCTAAAACAAAGTTGTAAACTTCCTAAAACAAAGTTGTTATGTATTAAAATTCAAGTTGACATTTCGTTAATGAATGAATTTGATTTAAAACAAGTAATTATACATCAACTAACTCAAATAGGGACAAACATGGTGGAGTGTTCATACATCGACTGACTCAAATAGCGACAGGCACAGTGAAGTGTACATGCAAATACAAAGGGTTATGGCTTGGCAAGGTAGTCAAAAAGGAATAATTTATTAACTAGTAAAAAAGCATACTGCTCTGCTTAAATTCAAGAACATATAAATCTTTAGAAATCTGGTGATGGCAGAAATCCCTATAATTAGATGAACTGTTGAATTTATTATCAGTGTGAATTATTATCATAATTTCAACAGCATATTTTGTAAAATCTAATACAACTAATGCCATTGTTGTGATAATGATAATTTAATTAAACTAACAATTTAGGTTCTAGCCAGTATATTTAGCTCTAAAATTAGATTATCTTCATTAGATATGATTCTATTTAGTTGTAAAGCCTGATTATATACTATACTATTTTTTGATCTTGAGGATGGTTTGCATACGAAACATTATAAATCTAGAGTTATAATGTGTTACAAGAGCAATCCATAACAAATGTAGATCATTTGGAAATTATGCAACTCATACTTTCACGATTTACATCGTATAAAAGATTTTGTAATAAGGAATAGTTTCTTTTTAAATTAACACCACAAGCATTCTGATCTGGCTGTATTATAAATAAATGTTTTTTTCCTCAACATAAGTTAAAAAAGAAAAAAAACATATTATAACATAATTAGATTAGATTACTTGTGGGTTTTATTTAAAGAAGATTTTAAACATAAATTTATAAACTATAACCAAATAAAGGGTAATGTAACGTTATAAAACTTTTAAACTTGTACAGTACTGTAATAAGTTTAAAAAATAATAACTTCGCGAATTGAAATCTTTTTTTTCTTGATAAATTTGTAATAAAAAAAAGTTAAAGCAATCTATAGGTAGAAGTAAACTATTTTACAATATTTTTTAAGAAATTCTCGTATTGCTATAGCAATGTTTCGACAAATGCATTGTTAAATACCATAACTCATTAACAAGTTACAGTATTTAACAAATTTGTTTTATTAACTATATTATTTATTAACAATATTGTAAATGCATTAATACGTTTGTCAAGACTATTGTAATTAAAATAGTCTTATCTGAAAATACTAACTCACAAGCAATTTATTTATTTGTTTTATTACAAATTTTGTATAACAAATCATAACGTTATGTTACGGAAATTTTGTAAAACAAAATATATTATTAAAAATACATCACAAATATAAATTTAAAAAATCTATGTTTGGGACATATTTTAGTTAAGTCTCAAATTTAAATTTAGTTATGTTACGTTACGTCTCAATTTGTTACACTTTAGAAAGTTAAAAAAAAAAAATTGAGACTTTTCTTTTTGTGAGACAATGTAACCAATTGAGATGAAGCTATTTGACAATAAAATAAAATAAAAGATAATATTTAGAAATAAGGCAATGATAAACAAACATTTACTGCATTATCAAGTTTATTTACTTTATATTTAACTAAAAATTGGTGAATGTTGTTACCG